CAGAGAATACAGCATACTTGGGTTGGGGGAGGGCAGTAAATCGCAGCAGTACTAGCATGAAGTCCAAGACGGTGTGGTACTTCACTCACTTTGATCACAAAAGGCCCGAAAACGACTAGCTAGTCGGAATCACCAAATCGCCATACTTCCTTTATGCAATATTGCGGTCACTTCTGAATCGCTAATCGGCCAACGCTCTCCACTATAAACAGTTAGTACCCAATGAATAAACTTTATCCGTATGAAATGCAGCAAACTCTGAGTTAACTATGCATTGGCTGCTAGAAATAACGCTCCATTGAAAATGAGTGTACAATAGAAAAAAAGCGAACGCTGGTATAATTCAATATCATTCTAGCCGCGGTAATTACGAGAAGTAGACAGCATTCACAAGTCATACTTCTAAAGAAGTAAGGGATTGAGGGTGTCTGAGCAACAACGAATTATGCAGACCAGGAGTGGACCCTTGATTAGAACGTTACATAAACGTTGCTGGAAACAGGAAGAGAAACAATTGAAACTGATTTCAATATAGCTACTTATCACAGAGAACATCACGATTAAAGACAAGTTATATGTTTGAAATATCCAAAAAATTACAGTCTAAAAATATGAATTAACGTAGCGTCCAGAACCCAGGAAAGATTGGTGGCTTGTGAAACGCAAGTTTGGCGGAGTGGCGGATATAATCAGAGGCACGCCTCACGATCATTTTGGGGTAACTAGCTTCAGACGAATTATGGAAGTAGGATATTCAGGGAAGTGCAAAGGTGGCGAAGAAAACGTGAAAGGGGGCGTATATAGAGAAATACAAAAAACGGATGGAAGAGGTATTTGGAAGAGGTTGTCCAAAAGTGCGTGCCATTGCGTACAGCTGTTAACAGTAAGCAGCCTGCGTGCAACGAGAGGGTCCCGGCGTGGGCGATGCAATCTCTACAGCCTCTACAACGACGTGAGAACTCTCCGCCTTGGTGTACCACGGCTGAGTCGATTTTGGGGCCCCTATTACGTTCTACCAAAGCCATTTTTCAACCCGACCGCTTTCCTTCTGCTGTTCTTCGAGGTTCCAGGTTCATCCCAACGAGAAATCACAGAAACCACTTTCAACGTGAACTGTGCCGTTAATCAGCCAGGAACAAGAGCCTCAGGGACATCTTCGTAACGCTCTCACTCCAGAACTTGAAGAACGATTTTTTTTGAAGAAGGAATAATATATCATGATCATATAACGCATTGTGCGCTAAACCTCTATATATAAAGTGGTCTGTTTGTGTGTCTGTTTGTGGGTCGATTTGTGCGCCCTCCCGAAAGTCATGAAGGCACGATGAAGAATGTGAATGTCAGGTAAGCGCGGTGGGGAAACAGTTATGAAATGGGAAGTCAATCGATACTGCTTATATTGGTACTCTAACAAGTTGTAAGTAAGCGGTAGTGGGCATGGCATGGTGCACGCGTTAGCGTGCCTAGCCCACTTCGTACAAAGCAGGAGAGCGTTCTCATACCTAGAAAAACTACAACCTCCCATCTAATATTCCACCTTCATCGCAAATCCTTTAAAGATCACTATCCATTCAGGAATACAATTTTAATGAAACATACCCTATTCACTCAGCTGATATGGGGCTGGAACACTTGCGGCTCTACCTTGCTAAAAGAACGACCCATTTAGACTAAGAGGTAACCCTTTTTGGAAAGATTTTCATAACAACAACCATACAAATAAACGACCAGAAAATGAAGAGCGCCACGAACACCAGAGCACAGTCGAAGCCACATTTATAGGCGTGATGAGCAAGCCGTGTCCCTTCTGTTTTTAACTGCGCCGTGTTGGCGTCCACTTGAGCGTGCATCGAAGACAACCTCTGTAAGTATGAACTTTTGAAATTCTCCTTCGGTTAGATGGCTTGGTTCAATGGACTCAAGTTTTTTACGAGCCATCGATAGTTTTATTAGAATAATATTATATTCGAGAAAACAGCAACTCTAACTATTCCTTATGGAAGAAATTACAATAATATCCAATTCATAGGCTTTCAAGGCTCCCTCCAGCCTACTTCTTTTAGCCATCCTCGGAACCTTTTCAAAAATGAGAACCGTAAGAACTGAATGACAAGCTATCACTCTTCTAGGACGGATAAGAAGGAATGTTGAGTATATGACTTTGAAGTCGGTCTCAGAATAGCAGAATGGAAACGAATGGAAATGCGCTTATTCAGAGGGCATGGCTGCAATACGAAAACTGCTTCATTTCCTACAGTCGGAAAAGGAATAACCCTTTCTGTGAATGAGAAATTATATGCAATTCCCTTCACATAAGTCCTATTCGAATAATTTGGAATAATTCCGCGAATTCGTGGGCAAATTGAAGTTGCATTTCAAAAACAATACTTTGGTCTCGATTTCGTTTACTTTTGCACCTCCACATATTGCGATACAGCTCAACTTGCGATGGGCAGCCAGTGTACAAGTCAATGCATTGTGCTCCTTAACGAGTCTGGTACCAGTGAACCGACTCCGGAGAGATGGAAGGCTTGGATGCCATAGGCGCATATCAATCTGTGATTCGATTTCAAAATCACGCGAGTAACATAGTGCGCACCTTGACATTATCATACTTCCCACTAGCTTGATTATGTTATTATATTCAATAATTTACCACGTTGTGAAGTGCATGCCATTTTTCGAACTTGAGCAGCGATTTGTAACCCAAGTTCGAAGCTTTGGCTAGCTGGCAGAAAGAGACAAGAGAAAATCAGGAAGAGTTACCGACTTCAGCAGTCACAACTGAATCCAACTTTTCTGATAATGAATTTTTAGCCTACCAATAAAATGACAACTCCACTTAGTGTTTGATCGACAAACACGAAAAAAAAACAACAGCTTAGAGAAGAATATTGAGATGACAAGCAAACGCACTTTGTTGTCGTCCTTCAGTACGTTCCCAGCAACAGTCATGTTCTGTTTTAGTGAACGGGTCAACGATAGAAGTTCATTAGCAATGCTCTCCTGCTTCTCTTCATGTTGTACCAGATCATCCGAAGCAGAAGCTAGACAACAAAATTGCCGTTCCTGAGTCCTACTCGAGCAGGCCTTTTCAGAAATTAAGCTCACCATTCTGCCTTCTTTGCTTCTCCTCTCCCAACAGCTGCTTACGTAAATCCGCACGATAAACGGCTCGATTACGAACACGAACTTCGGACACTGTCTCCAAGGGCCGGTAGGAAGCTGGTTCTAAAAATTCACCACGAGTCGAGTTAGGCTCAAGCTTACGAGAAAAAAACAAACAACCCTTACTTGACGTATTACTAGAGTGCAGCTCAATACCAGTGTCGGGGAACCGTCGTGGAATCAGGTCCAGTTGCGAAAGTTTCTCTTCAGCGGACTTCTTAAACAACAATTACTTTCTCTACTAACATCCATGACCAAGGCAGTGGAATAAAGAATGCTACTATTGAGGTTAGAATGAGCCGTGAACTTACGCATCTCTCAGCTTCCACAAGCAGTTTCATCTGATTAAGTTCACGGCCGTACTGCATTAGCAAATCGCCATTATGAAGCCTTAAATAGCAACGATGGCTTGCAAACTACTACAAATAACTCAAAAACAAGTTTGTTTACGTCTTTTCGTCCTGGAGTCTACTGTAAAGGTTTTCGAGATATAGCACAGCCGCGTTAACCTTCCACACATTTTCAGCCAGGTCCTCCCTGGCAAGCTTTTTCGTCCGCTCTAATAACCGGAGGAAAGACAACTCTGAGGCCGTCAAAGACATCTGTAAATAGAGCAGTTTGATGGCTCTTTAACTTAAAACCCTTTTGCTAATCAATTGGACAAGATGCTCGGCACAAATTTTGCCATCATGATCTGTTTCATACAATGCACACAAATATAGATATAGACACCGAGATGAGTTGCTACGGCATTTTTTAACTGCGCAACTAGTATAAATACAATATTTTATCATTATTATCCATAAAAACAGCAAACGTTGAACGATAAATACTCGTCCTCATCAAAAGAACAAAGATCCTGTATGAATTAGCCACCGCATTGCCCATACTATCATTTCGCCTCGGCTTCTTTTTCTTTCTCTTCGTGTTCCTTGATGAGCTTCTCGACCTAAGGACAATCACTCTGAGCTCTCGCGAAATCGGAAAAACCGTCGGTAAAGTAAAGGGATCGAGGACAAATGTACAAACCTCTGAGGCGGTCAATTCTTCAACTACCGTCTTTCCATCGCGACGAGTCAAAACAGCCATTTCTACTAAAAATGAAAAAAAGTAATTCATACGCACAGGTTGAATACAGACTTTACAACCTAACCTGAAGAGCCATTGTAAGATTAGAGTAAAACACCCCCGTGGATGACAACCCAAAGTTGCGCAGAAGGAAAACAAAAATTATATTTTTGTAATCCAAGATCAAATGATATCTACAAAAAAGTACCTTTCTCATTCGTCAATTTGACGTCCAGGGTTTTCCACAGGACCTTGACTGCTAACTTTTTGGCTTCCGCAAGTGTTGGGCTCTTGTATTCTTGCTTCAATAAAGACATAGCGGCCTGCAAGCAACTGCCATGAAATACTGTTACAAAAAGCTTTTCCAGCGACTGAGGAGCAATAAAAGGAACCTGGTGATTGTTGCCGATGCAAGTCGCCTTCCAACCCGTGTAATTTCCAGAAGGATCTGACTGGTAGAGTTGATATCCGTAGTGTTTATCCCATCCCATATAAAGTAGCGACACACCAAAAGGTCGTTTTCCTGTAATAGACGTCTTTCATACAACATTTCAACATTTGGGTGAGGATGTCGCTAGCAGCTGAGGCGCATAATAAGATTTGAAAAGGTTACAAGCGTAGATCGATTCTCACCTCCGATTTGAGTATATCGCTGTTTCTCATTGCAAAGATTTTGGACCAGTTGCTCCACTGGCATCTCTTCTCCATAAGATAATTTATACTGAGCAGCCCACCTGAAACAAGCTCTTGTCATGTTCCATTATACTGCAACTGACTTTTCTAAAGCATTTTGTTATTTCATAGGATTGTATTTGTGGTTCTGAGTGTTTACTTCTCATTGTTTCTCAACGGTTCAGAGCAGTTTTACTCCTTTACTAAGACACTCCTCAATGTTTTGGCACCATTCCGCATTTCAGTAAAGAATACTACAAGGACGACCTTGATAACGTCTAGATTAGCGCAGCCCTGCTCCAGTACCACCCAGAAACCGTAGTGCGGATAAGAGTGAGAAGATTAGCAAAAAGGTTCAACGCATTACAACAAATTCGAATCGAATTACGCGAGTTATAGCAGCCTGGTGATTACTGAGTAATTAAAGAGCTATGCATTCACTTAGGTAGAGGTCTTTGGAACAAACAAGACGATGAGGCTTCAGAGCTAAAGTGAAATTAACTTGAGGCCAAATAGGATCGTCTTCTCAACATGATATTGACTTCCTCTGTTGTAATCAAAAGATTAGATGGGTGCTCATGCGCAATGGGCAGTTCCCAATTCTGGCTAGCGAGGTCATAACACCTGATGAAGCGCTCGACCCTCGTCACGGATCCGCAATAAAATAGAGAGGGTAAATCAGTACGGATTACGCAAATTACGCAAGAACCACTCCCCTATGTATAAGGTATGCAGGCTCAAGTTATTCGACACCATTTCTGTAGCCTGATTCTGAAGATCAGGAAAGTACGGTACATGTAGATATACAGCTCAATTGCACGCTATATGAAGTGCTAACGAAATGTAATAATTATTAGCGGTCTCAGCCTTACCATCTCAAGTGGTTGATCAGAATGTTGGCATCAGCAGTGATACCAGCTACCGTACATGTGATGTTTTCGGAGAGTCGATAAATTTTTTCGGCAAGAACCTGAAGGAGAGCTTAATTCATTATGCAAGCCAGTTTGACTTCATTGAACTTTTTTCGAAGCCATATTGACGAGGAAAATGGTGTTAGTCAATCCTAACAAGAGGGGTGTGAGGTTTATCTCGGGCAAGGTGATAAAGACATCACGTTAAGGGCGCAGAGCCTTACTACTCAGAGTAATTTTTCCAGACCTTTATCGAAATGTTCGTGAAAAGTCTATGTGAAAATGCAGTTGGAGAGGGGGGGGGGGGGCAACTATAATTTCACGTAAAGATTTTTGGAATCGTTTTTACAGTTTGCCTGCTAAGTTCTAGGAGGAGAGCAGTACCATCGTCGTTAGGTGTAGGTGAGATTATTACCTCGTGCAAAAAGCTGGGATGGTGCACTGCGCCCTAGTGCCTTCGGTTAAAGAAGAGGGATGATCCCCTCCCCTCCCCCCCGCTTCCAACAAACTCCATTATCACCAAAGCTTGTAATGGTGAAAACAAAAAGAACCGAAATTTGGGGATGCATCTCAAACTAGAGACCATCCGGCACAAGCATTTCCATAAACTGGGGAGTTTACGTCGCTCTTAGGCGTCCATGCCAGATTTCCCCGCTCAAGTGCATCATAAATGACTGAACCACCGTTAAGTAGGCATGCAATCCTGTATTTATGCATGAATAGAAAGTCTAGTTTTCCCTTCCGCTTGGGCACGCTGCGATGTCAAATGTGAAATGGTCGCGTTTCAGCTTTGGATTACTACTGTGTTTGCAGAGTTGAAATGATTCAATGTATCAGGGGCTTTCTGATGCTTTGTCATGGAGAGACCAGAGACTTTGGAGGGCTACAGTCTTCCATTGTGTAGAGACCTCAGAAAACAGAACCCACTGTATCATCGAGAAGCTTATGCACATTCCTCTTCTCTGCTGCTATCAGAATACCATCTGTTGAAAGAATACCCAAACACGTTCCAGCATGGCTAATTGCTTCCATTGCATACTCGACCTGAAGTTACACTGCCATATCATTACTGTAATCTAGCTATGCGCAAGAACAATATACCTGGTAAAGACGGCCCTCTGGAGAAAAAATAGTCGTACGACTATCATAACGCCTCGCCTAGAATGAGATTAAATACAATTGCGGTGTTCCATCAAAAGTTTAATCATCAACATTAAGAGTTTCAAATGAGAACCAACCATTTCCTCTACGAGTAGATGTCAAAGCCGAAATCACCTAAAATAAAAAGACACCTAAAAAGAAAGGCTCAAGCTATAGAAACGCCTCTACGAGTAACTTTTAAGCAACCCGGAGCTAAAAAGTACGATATAAACCGGTAAATAATGTTCAAGAATAAGTAAAGAACTTGAATGACAAAACAGCAACACAAAATACGGCGGCGGAGGCGCTGCGATTTTAGCATTGGAGCGCGTGGTCGTCGATGCCCTAACAAACACACCCCTCTTTTTAGGAGGAGGGACTACATCTGCCCGTCAATTTAAAGTGACGAAATTGAACAGTATAGGGACGGTAATCTAGCACTAATCTTAAAAGCCGTCAAGTAGAGAATTTTCTTTGAATTAGAAAATGAACTTGAATGAGGGTTTGTGTAGTCACATATTTGGATAAGTGTGGATTTTACGAATTCCGTGAATTTAAAGTTGAAAAACAAGAACGTTACAACGAAAAGAAGGCCTGCGACATTGTCGATATCCAATTCCGATCAAACAAAAGTCCCGCGGAGTGGAGACTATGCAGACTGATTATGGATAGGGAAGGATAACTGCAGACGTCGATTGCCGCTATCGATGTCAGCTCATTCAATCACTCATTTCAAGGGTTACTCATTTGGTTGTTGTTCCGTGTGACTGCTGGTGAGCATCTCGAAGCATGAAAGGGATACCGAAGACGGTTCGCGAGGGTGGGTTGTCCTGCCTTTGGGTTCTTTTGAAGAATACTATCCCCTGCGCAAGCACGAATGTCGTGGTGTCGGGGTTGTCGTGCGAGTCCTCTGAAATAGATAGTATGCCCGACAAGGAGAAAATTCGTTAGGATGAAGTTTTTTGACGTTAATCAATCCCGACTGAGGAATGCGTCACGCATTCGTTTTCGATCAGAATCGTAGGGGCGTAATGAGTGCGTATGTGGCCTATACAATGACTTCACGTGGCTAGCCGATGTACAAGTCAGAGCTTTTACCCTCCCAGGCGAGTCTGGTACCAACTAATGGCCCTCGTACGGATGGAGGCCTTGGTTGGCGTAGGAGGATATCCATCCGGGGTTCGATCCCGTGACCATGCGTGTGTGATAGTGCGTCGATTGCCACTACACCACCTCCATCCCATAAGAGAACAAGGTATGAAGGCAAATCACCGAAATCTTCAGATATCAGGGATGAGGAGATTAAATAAGGCAGAATGGATAACGTTCATAAGGGGTTAAATGCGCCTTGCAGTTGTTAGCACCTAAACACACACATACACACATACACACACGTGCACAACACACACGCACATACACACAACACATACACACACCACACAACACACAACACATCTACACACCCTCCTAAGCGGTTCTGTGCTTACCTCGTTCCAACGCTCCAAGCCTGGAACAAAAAGGTCGAAAATGAACCCCGTTCTGGAGAAACGATTGCCTTATAATAAAACTTTCTCAAAAGTGTTTCCGAGTTATTAATGTTCTTTCATACTAGTTCTATAGAAGCTTCCAGAAAATCGCGGAAGAAATCTGGATTATTGTGAAATTTTTCATGTACCTAAAACCTTCATTGCCATCGCGATACGGCAAAGAGGGTTTGTGCTCATTTTTCATGAAGTCATGCTTCAGCTCACTTGTCACGCTCGATTATCTGTTCGGCAACTCAGAACTCGCCGACGGCAGATGCATATTCTCCAAGGAGCCTTCACACATGCATGTCCATAGCGAATGGAAAGACCAGGTCGGTACAGTAGTAACAACAAGCCGTTAGACTTGGGTGGCCTGCAGTACTTCTCCCTCTCCCC